GGGGAAATCACGACCAGACGCATCCGGTCAGTGCTGACCGGACGCTGAGCAGCGTCCGATCACACTTTAAACACTGGAGTTCGGGGTGAACTGACCGAAGCGTCCGGTCAACATGACCGGGGCGTCCGGTCACCCCACAGAGGCACATAACGGTTCATTTTTCAGCCGGTGTTATAAATACCACCTCCATTCGTGTGTGGGGGTACTTTTGCTCATTCCAACAGCTGAGAAACACCTTTGAGAGTACCAAGAAGAGCAAGGTTCTAGTGAGGTGATTGAGATTTGAGAATCCCAAAGAGAGCCCTCATTAGTGAGATCAAGAGTAGCAAAGTGTGCATCCACCCTTCTCATTAGGCTTGTCGTGGTCAAGTGAGAGTCCGTGCTTGTTACTCTTGGTGATCGCCATCAGCTAGATGGCTTGGTGGTGATTGGGAGCTTGGTGATCATCCGAAGAGCTTGTGGATGACCCAACTCAAATTGTGAGTGGTTGTGGGTGATTCACCGTGATGGAGTGTCGAAGAATCAACCCATAGAGAGCACTTGATCCTTGCGCGGATCAAGGGGGAGCTACACCCTTGCACGGGTGCTCCAACGAGGACTAGTGGGGAGTGGCGACTCTCCAATACCTCGGCAAAACATCGCCGCGTTCCTCCTTCTCTCTTTACTTTGAGCAATTCAATTCTTGTCATTTACATTCCTAGAATTGCCATGCTAGAGTAGGATTGGAATTTAGGTTGCTAAACTTTTGTGCGTTAGATCAATAAAAACACTTTCTAGGCACAAGGGGTTAATTGGGCTAACTGTAGAGTTTAATTATTGTAAAGAAATTTAGAATTAGCCCAATTCACCCCCCCCCCCTCTTGGGCATCTTGATCCTTTCACGGACGAAAAGGGGCTAAGAGGAGGAAGAGAGATAAGTCCACCCTACCAGCGGTCTTTTCTTTAGAGAGTTATATCCTTGTCAATATCTTCTATCTAAGAAGTATAGATGGCCAAATGGCCCCTGGCCTAGGCTCGCTAAGTCTTGGCCCGTTAGGCATTGGGACGGCATGGCATGGTTGGCTCAGTGGGCCACGCTGTGCCCGCCCACAGGCTACACCTCGGTCACGGGCACGACCATTTAAGGCTAGGGCCGTGCCGGGCCGACCCATCAGTACGGCGAGCCCGGCTGGCTCCTATGCCCATTAGCATGTGCGGCTCCACGCTGACGTCGCCCACTGCCTTACACCCCACTTCCTGTGTTGTTGGCAATGCGCCTGCACTTGCGCGCTAGTGGGGTGCGCCCCCCGTGCTGCTGACCACATTGCTAGCGATGCGTCGCCACGTACTTCCCGATGGTGGAGAATAGTAGGAGGAGGCCAATCACGTGGGAAGGCCGAGAGGAGAGGACGACGTGGAGATCGAGCTCGGGAGGGGAAGGGAGGGAAGCGACGATCGAGAAATCAAGAGTGGAGGGAAGCGGCGGTCAAGAAATTAGGAGGGGAGGGAAGTCGCAGCCTGGCGCCGACAGAAGGGTCATGGGTGGGAGGGGCGGCAATGTTGAGTGGCAAGGGTTCAGGAGAATAGGAGCTAGGAGGAATTTCATATATATGTGAATCATGATATGCTAATCAGGTTGGCACCTTGTGCCTAGGGTGTAGTCCGGGCATGGCTCTCTTGTCGGGAAAATCAAAAGGGCTAGTGCCTGGACCTGCTTCCCGTTCGAATGCATCGCGCCCGCCGCGCCCGCATAACAGGACCGTAACAAACAGGGGTGCGCCCGCCTCACCCTGCCTACGAATGTGCGTCGCAGAGGCGTCTGCCAGCTTCAAGCACCCGAACGGTGACCCACGACGGCACCCCAACAGCAGTAGCAAGCGGCTGCGGCAGGCCGCTGTCCCCTAGCCACTAGGGCGATTGCAACATGTGCTCCCCCAGATCTACTTTTGAAACATCTAGGTAAAACACTTGCAACATTTGACTTAAAACAGATGAAACACTTGAAACATACGCTTGAAACATGCGTATATAGCCATAGCAACATATGCAACATCCAGATCTGCTTTGCAACATCCAGATAAAACACTTGCAACATACGTATGAAACACCTAAAACACTTGAAAAATGCATGTTATGCAACATCCAGATATACTTTTGCAACATCCACATGAAAAACTTGAAACATACGTCTGAAAACAACTGGAACACTTGAAACATAAGCTTGCAACATGCATATATTGTCATTGCAACATATGCAACATCCCAAGATCTACTTTTGCAACATCCAGATGAAACACTTGAAACATGAGTCTGAAATGCCTGAAACACTTGAAACATAGCGTCGCCGGCTTACCTGGTGGGGAACTGTGGTAGCTAGCTAGCTCGCGGTTCCTCCTCCCCCCAGCCTCCGCCGCCCCAAAGCCACATCCCCAACCTCCTCCTCATTCTCGTACGAGGGCAAGTACCGCGCGACCACCACGAGCCTCGCCCGCGGCGCCTGCGCCCACGGCTTGGCCGGGAACCGCACCGACGAGGAGGGGCTCGGGGCGTGGAAGGCGGCGCCGGGTCAGAAAGACACGTAGGACACTGTCGGCGCGAGGGCGAAGCCTGCGGCGACGCCGACCATGGCCGGCGGTGGTCCGACACGGGCACGGCAGCAGGCCTTATCAGCTTCGAAAGAAACGAGTGGAATGGAGGGGGTGACTCTCGGTGGGGAGTGGGAGAGACATTTTTGAGAGAGAGAGAGAGAGAGAGAGAGAGAGAGAGAGAGCAGGCGTTGTGGGGCCAGTAGCGTGCAGGCCCAGGAAAGCGCGACGTTTGAACGGACGGACGCCCTGAGAAGAGCATTGCCGATAAAATACACTATTGGTTTTATGTCAAGAAGAAGAAGAAGCAAACATGTTGTAGGAGGCTAAGATAGCCAAGTGTTGCTTAGCAAAGTTCAAAAAGAAGAAGTGTTGCTTAGCATCCGCTTTATTAATTGGTCCTTTTTCCTTTTCTCTTAATAAGGTAAATAAGCAATACTACCAAGTACCAACTGAATTGCATAATCTGGGAGGTGGTAACTGGTAACGTACCTATGGGGCTATATGATGCAGTATCTTACGCTGTGAAATATGAAGGGTACTTCGCATTATTTTGTCAAGTGCCATCGGCTGGTTTCCTGGATGTCGGTTTCCACGACAAAAGAACGGCGTGTCGACGTCCAAGTTGCCCGTGAGTCCGGGGGGACCCCGTGTGGAATCAGACAGAGGCCGGCCACTCCCGCTCGTCCGGTGCTGAAACTGAAAGCAACCCACTGCCATGCTCGACACTCCAGAGTTCATTTGGATTTTGGACCCTGTCACTGTCTGCTTGGTTCCAAATTCGCCGCAAATTTTAACGCGTTTGAGCTTTAATTTTGTTCCTGTATAGGCGACTGGCTGGGTATGTACAAATGCAGATTTTACTTTCCACAGGCATTTTGTTAATATGCTGTACACCAGAATTATTATAGAAACGGAATGCCACTCATCTGACTCAATTTGGTTCTGTGAGGATCGTGCGAGTCCACAGTTTTGACAACCTACCGCATTTGGGACAGCAAATTGATGATGACTTGCCACACTTTAGGTATAGTTTAGCAAAAAAAAAAAATTGCTAAGGATAAACCCATCTAGAATATACGTATATAAAACCCATTCGAGTAACTAGACACTAAAGTCATTCACAGTGGAGGGTTTAATGGCATTGTTTTCAAGAGTGTCATGTTATATAGAATAAAACAAAACGTGGATCAAACCCACTCACCATCAATGGGCCTGTTCGTTTTTTTTATAATCCATACTTTTCAGCTTGTTTTTTTAGCCGAAACAGTGTTTTTCTCTCCCAACAAATCAGCGCGAACAGTATTTCGACTTGTTTTTTCAGCGAAGCGAACGGGGCCATTTGTGTAGTTTCATTATGTTGTTTCATATGCATTTAATTCCATGACTCGTCTAGAGTTGGAAACAGAGCTAAAAGCATCTCCATCAAATCTCCTATACTTCCCCCTATCCTTTAAATAAGAAATTGAATAGCTCCAGCAATTCTCCACCTGTCACGGGAAAACAATGTGAGATTTTTTTGGTAATATGTTGGAGCAAAAATCTCTCATATCCAAAAATTGTTTTTAAAAGATCTCCTATAGGCTATAGCTAGTTGTAGGGGAAACGAATATGAGGTCAGGTGGAGATGCTATAACAGAGTTTGATGCCCATAAAACTTTTTTTCTCTTCTTAAAAGCATTGCTATAAGATTAGAAATGTTTATATGATAGCACACCTTATTAAATACAAATAAAACTAGGACGAAATAAAACTCACACAGAGATTGACCTACCAGCAGATTGGCCTTAATTAGTACGTGGGTCCATCAATGTGGTAAATGAACAGCGTACCAAGGAACGATGGGGATCCCAGTGAGTATCACACTTGCTTTAAATATACTTCCCTCACTTGCCGCCAAAACAGATAGGGGTTGGTGCCGCATGTGAACTTTGAACGACAACATCATATGCCGCATGTTCATGTACTGCATACTACAACATGCCAAAGGAAGAAAAACATGGCCACCAAAGGACTGTGTGCTCATTATTCTAACAACTACTAGCATTCATCAGCAGGGTCAGCTAGGCAGGTAATAGTAGCCACGTAGTACAATTCTTTGCGTGCATCTAATCGGATCGACCTCGACGAGACGATCAATCGATGATACCACCTCTCCTCCTGCTGCAGCACACATGCAGCAGAGCAGCAGGCATGTTTCAAGTTCAATGTACATGTTGCAAGAGCTAGCAGAGATCGATCAGAAACAAAGACCGGAGCCCCCTCTGGACACAGCCAGACGCGTGCACTTGGGGGTGCTGTTCTTCCAGCTAGCGCCATTTGCATTGCATGCTGTCCTCTTCTCAACTCTAGGCACTCGCTAGAGTGAAAGTGACGGACCACCGATGCTTAGTATGCATTTATATATATTTATATCTGTCATCCACCCAGCCATCCTCACTTCCAGTAGTCCATCGCGGCGCCGGCGGCGGTGGCAGCGCATCCCCGGCATCCGTCCCTGGCGACGTCGGCGATGCGGACGCCGGTGTCATAGACCTGTCCCGGCCGCCAGTCCGCCGGGAGCACCTCCTGGTCTGCCCACACCCACTTGCCGTCGTATCCGCCCGTGACCACCGCCCGGAACTGCAGCGGCCCGGCGGGGGCCCGCGGCGTGCTCCACACGGGCCCGTACACGCGCGTCATGAACCGCCACTCCGCCGAAGACCCCACGGGGGCCACGTCCACTGCCAGGATGTCGGTCTGGCCGCCCTGGTACAGCAGCTTCACCACCAGGTTGCCCCGCGTCTTGTCGCTCGCTTCTTCCACCCGGATCGACAGGTTCTTCTCCTTGTACTCGCATGGAATCCTGCCCAGCCAAACACCACGAGGAATTTAGACTCCTACAGATGCATCTATAGTTTCTTTGAAAGAACTAGAGTTCAGTCAGTCATTTGTTCCCTAAAAACTGACCAACTACAAGAACAAAAAAACGTTTTTTTCGCTTTTTTGATGAAAAAAAATACGTTTTTAAGTTGATTAGAGAGAGTAGAGAGAAGCAGCATATAGACCTTTTGTACTCTACGGAGAGGGCATCTAGCCTTTTGAGCTCCTGGGCCATCCCGGGCTTGGCCAGGGCCGCGAAGGCGGGCCCGGCGAGCAGGAAGTCGGTGCGGTTGCTCCTGTGGAAGTCGGTGAGCACCACCCGCACTCCGCCGGAGCTGCACAGCTTTGCGTCTCGGCATCTCATCTGTTTTATTTGCATGCATCATCCCAAATTAATTAGTCCACCGGCAAGAATAATCACAGCAAATTAAGGCAAAGAACATCCAGTAAATAAGACAGGCGAACGGCATATTCAGCAGCAGCTCTACTCACTCTTCTGAGTTCTGAGACACCAAAGAGAATGCATGCAAAAAGCCAGAGCAGAAAACAAACGATCACAAGAAGGAATATGCATTCCTCGGTGCACGCAAGCAAGCAAGCAGATTTCTGCTCCTGGATTTCGGGAACATTTTTGTTAATCATCAGAACTACATTAGGTAGGAATTCGGACCGGAAGTCCCAAATTCGTTGTCTTGATGATTGAGCCGAGCCAACTAACTGAACTGAAGAAAAAGAAAAGGTAACAAAACAGATTCCCCCTTAATCTGCACTCTGCAGAATACTGCTTTGTGTTCTGGCTCTGAACACTGAAGACGGCAACATAACGGGAAAGCCCCATCCCCAAAGCACGAGTGAATCGAGCAGAGCAGCCCCAGGAGATTGTTGAGGACAAAACTCGCAACCGCACATCGCAATCCAAGGTAGTACCGAAGATTCTTGTGGGCGCAGTCAAGAAAGTGGCTTCTTGCCAACCGAATCAAGCAAGCGAAGGACAGAAGAAGAAGCAGGAAGACGGAGAGTGATTTGAGAAGAAAACAGCTGGAGGCAGTACCTGGAAGCAGCGGCCGCAGCCGAGCCCACCGCGGTGCTGCCTCGGCCCGCCGGCGGCGAGGAAGCCCCCATTGATCTCGGCAGCCATGGCGCCGTACCCGCACGCTCCGCTGCTACCTGGTTATCCATATCCAACAATCGGACCGACCAATCAAGATCTAGCAGCGGTAAGAGGAAGAAAGGCTATTACTGTGGCTCGATCGGAGAGACAGAGGGCAGTCGATGCGCTTACCGTGATGAGGGACCGGGGAGAGCGAGGGCGAGTAGGCCGCCTTCCCCTGCCGAACGCACCGCTCGCTGGCGGCGGACGCGGCGGAGGCCAGGAGAAGCAGCACGCAGAAGCAGCAGAGGAGGACGTCCATGGCGACGGAGCCGCCGAGCACTAGACCAGAGGGGAAGGAGACTGTGACTTGCTTCTTCTGCCTAGCACATGCCGCTGCTACCTAGATTAGCTCACTCTGCTAGCTAATTTAACCGGCGATATATATAGCAGGGGTGGAGAGGCAGAGCGTGCGTGTTCCCTGGGACTTGGGCCCACCTGCCAGTGCGAGGGGCCCATGTGTCAGTGCCTGCTCGTGACCATCCCGCCCCGTGAGGCACGCCACGCATTGCCGGGGGGGCGGGGTTTTTGCTTTTTAGGCCTGTCGGGGGTCTTTTTATTCGCTTTTCTATGTGAGCGTGGCTTGCGTAGCGTGTGTCGACTGTAGACAAAAGCGGAGGTACTTAAGGGTCCGTTTAGATGCGAAAATCTTTGGCTTTTGTTACCGTAGCACTTTCATTTATATTTGATAAAAAATATTTAATTATGGACTATTTAAGTTTAAAAGATTTGTCTTATCAATTACGGGTAAACTGTGCAATTAGTTATTCTTTTTACCTACATTTAATGCTTCATCCATATGCCGAAAAATTTAATGTGACAGAGAATCTTGAAAATTTTTGGATTTTAGGTGGGATCCAAACATGACCAAAGTAGTAGGGGAAGGCAAGGGGAAAATTACAAGTGCGCGGGGGCTACAGGTAGGCGTCCGAGGATTGGAAATTTGGAATCAGTCAAAGGACAGGCATACATTATGGAGGAGAGAAGAGAGATGCCACCGACCGGCTCTGCACAAGACCCGTGATCTACGAGCCTGACGAGGAGAGGAGTGTAGTTTACTCCTCCCAAGCCTCTCATTTACATTACTTGACCGATTGCAGTTTTTATCAATTTTAAAAATAAAACTGCACTGATTATGGTTGCGAGGACAATTTTGACCGTGTCGGTTTACTCATATATATAATGCCATGTAGCAAAATTAAAAGAAAAGTTTTTTTAAAAAAAACACCAGGTACCTTGCGCAAAAAACTTCTGTGAACACCAACGGTTGACACGACTTTTGTTCTTTGTGCTCGCTACCATCACCATTGTCAGTTGTCACTGCCTCTACACCTACTCCATACAGTATACTATCACTGTAGCCCCGCTATCACCGGTCACTACTGTCTACTGCTATGTCGGTCACTAGTAGGAGTAATACATGCTAGCTAGGAACAATTTCTTGTGTTGGATATTACTCCATGCCAGGGTTTTTAATTTCGGTATTGTAAAAATTCCGGCCACCACTGAATTTACCGAAACTCAACTGAAATTTCAGCGAAATATTTTTAGAGACTAGCACATGAAGTATGCTTTTTAAAAAAAAAATAGATCTAAACAAATATTAGTATGATTTATGACTACACATCTATTGAATAGAAGAACATGCAATATAAACAATAGAAAATATGAGCCTAGAGTTATATAACACATGCATTAGTGTATTACAAAATTTCGGATTTTTTTCGCCACCACCAAAATTACCGAATTTCGTAAAGTTTGGCCGAAATTTCGCTGAAATTTTGAACCCTGCTCCATGCTAGTATTGATAACCAAACTTCACTTGATGTAACAACCCACGAAAGCTTGACAGAAATAGGGTCACTACATATACGTACTGTACTCCCAACCAAAACTTATTACCAAACAACTTTATTTTTACACGTATTGCTGCAACAACATTTCGGCTCTGATATAAGTTCCCTCCCTCCTCCACTACCCCTTTTATTGGTGAGCACCATAACCTTCAGTGCATATGTGGTTGGGGATGGCAGCACCCGGATGGAGTAAATTAATACCCATCCACAACAAATTGTCTATCGAGTAAAACTCATATACATGTATCTGTAACCGTGGGGTAACAAGTACCTACACCTGCAAGTTATTAAATTATTAATAGAATAGATGAAATTTTGTGTAAGTACTAACTAGGGATGAAAACGGTCCGTTATTGTTCGAACTTTAGCAATTTTTAGATTACTCGGTTATTGTTCAGTTTTTCTAGAGTAAGTAATCAATCACTTCGACCACCCCAAGTTCTGCACAACAATTTTTTTGACTTTTATGCATCATGCACAAACAAAGCATGCCTACATTCCACGAAATAAGCCCTCTTTCCCTCTGAATAAGGTAACTCTATAGTATAGTACTAAGATCTTTAAGAAGGTCAATGCTATGTACCAAACCACAGCTTGGAAAGCGATACATCTGCAGTAAAAAAAAAAATTACCTCAACAGCCTCAAGTTGTGGTATATGAAAGGCAAACCTGACACACAAAAAAAACCCTTAAGTTGTGGTATTTTTTTTTCCACCGACAAGGTGATTTGGTCTCAGCAACATATTTAATGCGAGTTAGTTGTTTGTTTGGACTAGTAAATTGTGAAACTTGCATTTATGTGAGTTAGTTGTCAGTCCGAATTTATCAGTAGGAAGTGTATATTAGTGGACTCAGTCAATGCAATGTTTTTTTTCTTAAAATGCGGACTTGATGTAGAAAATAAAAAAGACATACGTGGTCAACTCTTCTTTTTTTTCTTACAAATTTTAATCGCATTTCTCTCACGTGAGCGCACTTAAACTAAGTGCTTCTATCTTGGCGACCGCCCTACCTCCCCTCCGGCGAGCACCACATATAGGACCCCCATCTCCAGCGGCGGCGCAGGTCAAAGCTCCGACTCCGAGCGGAGCAGAGGCTGGCGGCGGCGGGAGTCGAGCGAATCAGAGAAACAGAGGGATTCCACGCTGCTGGGCCGTCTGGTCAACAAGGCCCAATGGCCCAGGCCCACCCATCCTGCAGCCCATATCCTTAGTAGGGCAAGCAGCATACGGCGCCGCGCCGCATCACGCTCGCTCGGCTCGGTTCACCACGCTCCGCGCCTCCGCAGTCTGCCTCCGGCCGTCGTTCCGCCCTGCGCCCGCGCGTCCATGCCGCTCTAAACCTCCAACGACCTCCTTGCAGCTGCCACAGCCCGCAGTGCTGCTGCGCGTGAGGCCCGAGCCGCCGAGCGGCCACCGGCCGGACTGCCGGTCTGCCGGTGCTAACTGCTGATGGATGGGGGAGGAGATGAAGCTGGAGCCAGCAGAGGCACGAGTAGGCAGAGGCCGGCAGCTCCAACTCCAACTCCATTGAGCAAGAAGCGATATAAGAAACTAGGTATTGCCATTAATCCATTGCAAATCGTTGGCTTGATTAGTTGTTTATCCTGATTATTGAAAGCAATTAAATTAAATGGTTATGCAGATTTAAAAAGCTTCTATACCACTACCAGTACAAATTCTGCAAGTGGAAGTAACTCGGCCCCAAGCACTCGTGAAAGCGGTAATGTTGCTGAATCAACAGAACAACAACAGCTAGGAGATTCAGAGCCACATCCAAATCCAGTAGAAACAATACAAAAGCGTTGAACAGGATGCCAAAGTCAAAGGTGTTAAGGTTTTCAACCCAGATTTTGATATTGTTTCTGATCCGGGCCTTCGTGTAGCTATTGATCAATTCCATCCGGACATTAGAGATGATGTTAGGAGAGCTTATTTGGTGAAGGGCCCAACCAAACCTTTTGGCCATAATTTTCCTAAAAAACAAAATGATAAGTGGGTGTTTCTAGAGAATTGGTTAACAAAGCATGATTGGTTGGAATATAGTGTGGCTAAGGATGCAGCATTTTGCTTCTATTGCTTTCTATTCAAGAAAAAGCCCTTAGAAACACATTTTGGTCATGATGCATTCAGCAAAGAAGGGTATAGAAATTGGAAAAATGCATATAATGGATTTCCTCTTCATGTTGGTGGCCCGACAAGCTACCACAATAGAGCAAGGACAGCTTGTGCATATTTTAGGAATCGAAGGGCAAGCGTCTCACATAAGATTGAGGCTTATAGTGTTGATGCAGAAAAGAAATGTGAAACACGTGTGACGGCTTCTTTAGATGTTGCAAGCTTTCTCATTGCACAAGCTCATCCGTTTCGAGGCCATGATAAATCTCCCTCTTCCTTAAACAGAGGGAATTTCTTAGAAATGATTGAGTGACAAAAAAAGGGAACGAGGAGGTACGGCTTGCATTTGAGGAGTTGTGTCCGTTGAATGCCCAAATGCTTTCTCACCAAATTCAGAAGGACCTTTGTGCAAGCTTTGCAAGGGAGATAAAGGAAGCCATAAAGAAAGGAGATTGGTGATAAACTTTTTGTAGTTCTAATTGATGAATCTCGTGATGTCTCAACAGCGGAGCAAATGGCTGTGATTGTGAGGTTGGTTAATATTTAATTGCTGATTTGATAATAATTATTATAAACTATATGACAGTCTCATTTAATTGTATTTATTGGTTTGCAGGTTTGTCAATGATAAAGAAATGGTAGTGGAAAGATTCCTTGGTCTTAAACATGTGGAGGACACAACATCTATATCATTGAAGAAGGCATTACTTGATGTTCTTGCTGAATATGGTTTATCTATTGCTAGACTTCGAGGGCAAGGGTATGATGGGGCTTCTAATATCAGAGGTGAATTCAACGGTCTACAAAAACAAATTCGTGATGAAAACCCACATGCTTTCTATGTGCATTGCTTTGCTCATCAATTGCAGCTAGTAATTGTTGCTGTTACAACTTGTTGTTCATCATTTGCTGATTTCTTCAACTATGTGAGTTTGATTGTGACTAGTGCTAGTTCGTCTTGTCGAAGGAAAGATACCTTGATTGTTGAGCATCGTAATACAATTTTAGAGAAATTGGATAGTGGGGAGATTTTTTCTAGGAAAGGGAAGCATCAACGAACTAGCTTGGTTAGACCCGGTGATACAAGATGGGGTCCTCATTTCACCACATTACTCCGTATTGAAAACATGTGGGATTCTGTTATAAGGGTACTGGCTATGGTTCATGGGGATGAATGCAATCCTGGTAGAGCAGCTAGTTTATTGAAGAAAATGGAGACCTTTACCTTTGTTTTGAATATGAAGTTGATGTTGAAAGTGCTTTGTATTACTAATGAGTTATCTCTCTTG